TTTTTGCCTCTGTATTCTGACAAGTGAGTTTTAAGCCTTCTATTGCATCCTGTATATCCTTTTTTAATAGTTTCCATAGAATTTGGGAAATGCTATATTAAATACAATAGTTTTCGATCTGATGATTAGGATTGAAGGTAGTGTTATGTTTTTTAATCACTTTGCTAAGGGCTTGCAATTTGCTTGGATCATATGTACTTTCTACCTTTTTAAAGAGTACGAATAGTTGAAGAGCTCTCCGGTACTTGATGAATTCTGGTCCATGCCTATAATGTTTTTCTTGAGAAGCAGATAGCTTTTTGATTGTAAGCTTGTTATATTCCACCCTGCATATTTGTTCTTCACAAGTCTTTCAGATCTTGTTTGCATGAGCTTCTCTTTTACCATTCTCTGGTTCTTCTTTAAACAATGAATCCATTGTTGTTTTGAGTTTGTGATTCAGACTTTTATTAAATGCCTTCCACTGTTCAGGTGTTAATCTCTTTATATCAATTCTTCATTCACTTTTTGTGGGAGACTTGCTTTTAATATCTCTTGTGAAGATATTGGTGTCATGTATTGTTAGCACTAGCATAGTATGATCACTTCCTGTTGTTTATTCTATACTTTAGTTATCGAATCTGAGTATTAAATATTTTGTAAGGCTTTAAGATATCCATATATAATCAATCCGATTACTGCTAATAGCATCCCATCTTGTTGGAGTTTCTTTTCCTTTCCAATAGCCTGTATGTCTAGAAAGGACTATTCATCTAAAAAGTTGAATAGCAGTATTTCTGGACACCAAGATGGTTTAAATTTAGCTCTAGATGTTGATGCCCTGTCTTCTGCAGGGTTGTATGTTACATTAAAGTCTCCCATTACTATTATATGAAAGCCTTGTCTATTCTTTTCTTTAATTAAGCTTTGTACCCTCTTCTGTATCTTTATGCTTCATTGTTTGTCTGAGGGATATAGATCTGGATAATATATATCTTGTTCTATTTTATGAGCATATTAACTGCTATCATATATCCTTCTATCTCTTCTACTGAAGCTACTTTTCTTTCTAGATCTTTTCTTATCAAAAGACTAATTCCTGCACCATATAGAGTGTTTTTATTGGTACTATGAAAATACTTGAAGGTTTTTTTGCTTCTGGAAAACCCATTTTGTTTTTGCATTGGTTAGTTTTGTTTCACATAGTCCCATTATTCCAATGCCTTGTTCCTGTATTTCTTCTATAAAACTATACTAGTTTATACTATCAATAATACTTCTAATCTTATGTGTTCCTATTTTAATCATCCTTCTGTATATCTTCCTCTTTTGTTTTTTCCATCTGTTGGTCCTCTCTATTTTTTCCTAGGAATTTATCTTTCTCTATTTGTAGAAAAGTATTAAGATCTTGATTACTTTACTACTACCTATTATTGTTCTTCTCTATTTGTCATGCTTTGCCCTTGTTTTGTAATTTTGACTTGGGAATAGTGGGTTGACATTCCTTCTCTTTCTGTGATTGGACTGATATACCTTTTTAGGAATAATTGGCCCTCCTTTTGAGTGGACCTTTATCTAGTTTGTCTAGTCATTTGCTAAGTTTCTCTAATATTTTGCTCAGCTGGACTATCTCTGACTCTTGATTTATAGTTAATCTTCAGCTTCTTGTTTCCCATCTTGTTGTTTGCCTTTGATATCACTTAATATCCAAAGCTTCATCATCAGTTTCTAAAGAATATTGTAAAGCCTGATGTGGAACTTGATTCACTTCCTGATATCTCCTCTTCCCTAGTGGCTTCCTATTGCTACCAGTTACTGGTGGTATAGTGCTCATTGTGCTTCTCCTGTTTTCTGATCAACTATTGTTTCTTCTGAGTCTTACTGTCAGTATAGCTTCTTTTTCAGTTGCTATGATATCTTCATTACTTTCTTTATCTTCACTTACTCTATCTCAGCTTTTGCAATCTTGTTCTCTTGCTTCTTTAATCATTATATATGCTTTGCCTATTCTAGCCAGATCAGTTAACACCTTGTGATGATAATGATTCTTTGCATTCTATCCTAGCCCTTGATTGTCGATCTTTATTTGGTGCTGGAGTGCCTTTCTTAGATTTTTTTTATTTTTGAAGTATACTACTGCATAGTTTTCTGATACCAAGGTGATTTTGTTTTTTGGTATATAAAAGGTCTTAGCCTTTGTATGGCTTAAAACTTTTTCTATAGATTCTGTAGATAATTCATCAACTCCATAAAGTCTTAAGGAGTATCTCTTTCTCTCTTTTAGAATCTAAGTAATTTTTTGATCATCTTGTTCCTTGTGGCTATCACAGACTGTACTTGATTGAATTTTATCTTGATTACCTATTCCTTGTCCAAGTTTATATATTCTTGGTAAGCATAAAGGTGAACTTTGAACTATTTTTGATAAAAACATGTTCTATATTCATAGATATTAATAATCTCTTCAAATTTTTCCATTGTTTATCCAATCACATGTTTACCAAGCTTGTGATCTGTATCTACCAATATAATATATTTTGATCTATTTTTAGCTGATGAAAAGCTTTCTGGCTTGAAGAACTTTTTGTTCTGAGCATATCTTTAGAAGGCTGGTCATGTGCTCATATCTTTATTTATTCTTCTAAGTGTAAAGTTCTCAGCTTCTTTTTTGTTAACAGCCTCCAAACATTTTGCTGCATCTTCTTCTTCATTAAAGCCAAATGTAATCCAATGGTTACCATTAATAAATTCTGTTTTGAAGGGATTTATTTGCTTAGGTATCTTTAGAGCTCCTTTGAAATACATAATTCCCTTTTCTCTATTTTCTCCTAGCAATATAGCTTGAAGTACTTCCACCTTGATTGATTTTTGTTTTTTAATGAAGAATGGATTTACTGTTATCTCTTGAATCCTGTTTCTTGTATTATAAGATATACTGTCTATAATAGAGCTTCCTGCATTGTTTTTTTTAACACTTCTATTTCTATTTGTTCCACTACTTTTTTATTCTCCATTATGACTTCCTTAATGGAGTGTACTTCTTCAAGTTCTATGGAAGTTAGTTGAACTTTTATTAGAATGCTTTCCATTATCAAAACTTCAATTTGGTTAGAGCTTAATGCTAATATTACTGATTTGCTTGTCAATATATTATACTATTTTTCTTCTAGTATAGATGCTTCTAAATCTTCCTTTTTACCTTACACCTTTTTTTAAAGAGTAAGGATATATTGCTATAGTATATGCTCTTTTGCCATCACCAATATATCTATCCTCAATAGATTGGCAATAATACTATCTAGCATTGAGGAAACATATATTGATTAACAAGGATGTGGAATTGATTAGTTATTATTGATCTCAAATTATATTATATCATTCTTGTTTCCTGGAATACTTGCTGAGGATCTTGATAAGATGCTATTTTTTCTAATACTTTCAATAGCTCCTTTTCTCTTTTTTCTAGAATTCTGATTATTGTTTGTTCTTTAGTTAACATGTTGTCACATAATACATAAAAATTTAATATGTATTATTATTGTATACGTATCTTTTTTTTTTTTTTAAAACCCTAGGTCAGGCTAGATATGTGTGCTTTATTAAATGTTTATATACTATACATTTTAAATAATTCGCTAAAGCTAAGACTTTACCTAACTCATTCGTCGCTGTTTTGTCTTGATATACCAAAACTCTAAGTGCAACTTCGGGAGTGATTTATTGCTCCGCTAATAGTTTAGGTAAATACCCTTCCAACCTTTAATATCGTTGCCCACAGATCACTATTGCAGATCACTATCCGTTGTTCTGACCAAGCTTAAAACCCAACCACTTCATTTCATAAG